TTGAAAGATATCAAATTTTAATGAATCTAATACGATTTTAGCAAGAGATTTCTATCATCTCTTTCTTTTTTGTATGACAGAAATAATAATTAAAACTATATTATTAAGCATATAAATAATAAATGTACATATAAGTATTTATATACAATAGAAATGATCAATTTTATAATAAACTTTATTGAAATGATTTCTGCTAATTAATTTATTCGTTAATCAATTAATATTCTCTCTCTCTCTTTCTCTCTCTCTCTTTTCATACCTCTTCATAAAATCATTTATGAATTAACTTGTTTGGCAGAAAAAGGCAAAATTGTCTTGAGTACATCAATATTAAAACTTAATTATTAACTGTAAAATGTATTAATTACGCAATACGCATGCATTAATTACATTAAAATTATTTTGAATTAAATAAACATAGATTTATTTTCGGTTTTAATTAATTCCGGTTGTAATTCTACAGCTTATTCTTGAGAAAGAGAAGAGTGCGAGAGACATTTAAAATGAAAAGAAACTGAACGCTCTTTTTTATTTCCTGCATCAAACGTTCAAATAAAATAAATTGATGTGAAAGGGCTTTATAACGTTGGCGTATAATAAGTCAAGTCGACGTTCAAATGCACGATATCAAACATTTTTCTCATACCGAAATTTTTTTACAAAGAACAAGTTCTTTCACCGTGGAGAAATTTCTCTTTTACTTTTGCACCTTATGCATTATTACATATTTATCGTCGAGATATTGCTTTAAAATAATAATAACAAATGATATTTCAAAAGCAGTATTTTTCAAGAGACGACAAATTACAATCCTTTTAAATAACAGAAGCACGTGAAATATTTATTTGCTTATATAAATACCTAAAATAAATTTCACATGTTATAAATATGAAATAAAATTACATACATTTACGACGTAATATTTCATTATACTTCAACACGACATATTTGGCATCATAATATGTACGTCAAACTAATTAACATTATCGTAATCACTCTTGTGCCACGAGTATTGATGATTTATTAATGAAATCGCTATCTCGTCGGGTTAATCATCGTCTGAATGATCGTATGACGTAACACGATTTTATGCCCTAGTTACGACGTAACTTCCTATTACGCGAAACTCTGACAGTCCCGACGGTGTCCATCAATTTAATCTCGACAACGACGACGACAACGAGGACGAGGACGAGGACGAGAGAAAGAACGACATATTTGCATCGCGCGTGTCTAAGCACATACTCAAGAGTATGTAGAAATTTGTATGAAGTTCATGAACAAAAGTTAACATTTATTATAACAGTTCAACTTAGAAATTCTCTGGAAACTATACACGAGAGAAAGAGAAGGAGAGAGAGAGAGAGAGAGAGAGAGAGAGAGAGAGAGAGAGAGAGAGAGAGAG